ACGGTATCGTGCTCGATTAGTTGTGAAAGGATTTGCTCAGAAAGAAGGAGTTGATTTCAACGAGATATTTTCTCCGGTTGTACGACTTACAACAATTAGAGCAGTCTTGGCGATGTGTGCTGTGTTTGACTTGTATCTTGAGCAGTTGGATGTGAAAACTGCATTTCTACATGGAGAACTTGAAGAAGAGATTTACATGCTCCAACCAGAAGGATTTGAAGAAGAAAGAAAAGAGAACTTGGTTTGCAGGTTGAACAAATCTCTATACGGTCTCAAACAGGCGCCGAGATGTTGGTATAAGAGATTTGATTCATTCATTTTGAGCCTTGGATACAACAGATTTAATTCAGATCCTTGTGCATATCACAAGAGATTTGATGATAATCAGTTTATCATTTTGCTGTTGTATGTTGATGACATGTTGGTAGTAGTTCACAACAATGATCGCATCACAGAGATGAAGGCTCAATTGGCTAGGGAATTTGAAATGAAGGACTTGGGACCAGCAAACAAGATTCTAGGGATGCAAATTCACCGAGACAGAAATAATAGGAAGATTTGGCTTTCGCAGCAGAACTATTTGAAGAAAATCTTGCGGCGCTTCAACATGCAAGATTGTAAGCCAATTACTACCCCTCTTTCTATTAATTTCAAGTTATCCTCAAGTATGAGTCCTAGCAACGAAGCAGAGAGGATGGAGATGTCTCGAGTACCGTATGCATCAGCAGTGGGCAGTTTAATGTTTGTTATGATCTGCACTAGACCAGACATTGCACAAGCAGTGGGAGCGGTCAGTCGATACATGGCAAATCCTGGTAGAGAGCATTGGAATGCTGTTAAGAGGATCCTTAGATATATCAAGGGTACCTCAGATATTGCATTGTGTTATGGAGGATCAGATTTCATTATTAAAGGCTATGTTGATTCAGATTATGCAGGTAATCTTGATTGTAGTAAATCCACCACGGCTTATGTGTTTACTCTTGCTAGCGGAGCAGTAAGCTGGGTCTCGAAGCTGCAGTCTGTTGTGGCAATGTCAATGACAGAAGCAGAATATATAGCAGCTACTCAAGCTAGTAAAGAGGCGATATGGTTGCAAATGCTATTGGAGGAGCTCGGGCACAAAGTAGAGAAAATAACTCTATTTTGTGACAGTCAGAGCGCTTTGTACTTGACAAAGAATCCAGCATTTCATTCCAAGACGAAACACATACGAGTTTAGTATCACTTTGTTCGTGAAAAGGTGGAAGAAGGAAGTGTGGATATACAGAAAATCCATACTAAAGATAACCTGGCAGATATGTTGACAAAGCCGATTACCAACGATAAGTTCGTATGGTGTAGATCCTCAATTGGCCTAACAAGTATGCAAGCAGCAGGTGATTGGCAAAAAAAGGATGAAGATCCATGATTTGACTTTAGTGGGAGATTTGTAAGTAATTAAAGTCAAACATGGGAATACATGAGAGCATGGGAACTATCATGATAGCAGCAACCCAAATTCAACAAAGTTGTCAGTAAATCAGTAGGCAAATTGTTGAAAGAAGTTGGATGGGTAGCCACAATTGTTGACATAAACATTTGCAATTTAGTCCCTAGACTTTTGGCTATCTACATAACAACCCCTAATCCTTCTACTATAAATAGGGAGTTGATTTGCCATTTTGTATCATCCCATCTCATCCCATCTCTCCTGATCTTGTATCCTTTCTTGGTAGTTTAGCATAGAAAGTGCTAGTAGAGAGAAATAGAGAGTATATTGTAACTCCTATTATTTTTCTTGTTGCCAATACAAAAAATCCTTCTTCAAATTGTCTTTATTGTGTGTATGATTTATTCTAAATCTTACACTAGAAATATTCTCAATATTTCCGCCCAAGTTGCCATTGTAATTAGGTGTTGTGAACCGTATCGATCCTAACAAAGTTGAGTGGGGCCTTAATATTTCTGAGTGGGATTTAAATGTAATTGCCATGTTACCCCAGCTTATGGTGCTCAAGTTGAAAAATTCCTTCCATGGAGCTAGCTGTATGGAAAGTTGCAGAAAGCGGATTTTCTGAATTAAGATTCTTGCTCCTGTGGCCTGTGGGTAATTGTTTGGAAGAAATGCCAAAGAATTTTCTATGTGACAACTTGGAGTCAATTGCGTTGGAGGGGTGTCACTCTTCCCTTTTCCTTGTGCCGAGCAATTTCAACAAAAGAGAGGATACACGGATTTAAAGGTTAGAAGCTAAAACTTGTTTCATTCTTAATTTGTATTTCTTTTCTATCAATGCTGTCTTTCTTTACAAAATAGTACCTTTTTCAAAAAATAAAAAAAAAAAAATCTGATCTCATTTTCTGGATTATTTTTCACAGATCAAAATTCTAGACCCTGAATATGATGATAACAAATACAAAAGTGTGTATGTAAGAAGTCTTGTCCAGCCTCATAGTATACAACTCTCAGAAAATTTGAAGTGTTAGGTTACTACATGCGTCTGGTATCTACATTTTTTATTTGCATTATTGAATACGAAATAAAATGATGTACTGATTTTTCAGTTGTATAATTTTTGCATTTTATAGAGTTACATCCCACTTTATTTATTTACTAGTAATTGTCCCGTGCGATGCACGAACTATTATTAATTTAACAAATTTACCAATTAAATTTTTGACATCCTCTGAATTAGCAAAGAAAGTAATGATTGTGTAAACAGAAAAACGTACTTGAGTTCTTGAACTCAGAATTAGTTTGATTAAAAATGTAAGTATAACTATACAATGTAGTATTTAATATTTTTAAAAGTTTAATTATGCTATTATTATGTTGATTTTAAAGTTTATTGTTTTTTTTTTTTGAAAATTTTTAAAGTTTATTGTTAGTTGTATTATTATTTGAATTTGATTTTTTTTTGAAAGGAATTTGAATTTGAAATAACTACTTTAATTATATAACTAACGTATTTAAATAAAACTTGTAAATAAAATAGCAGATGATATTTGTCGAAAATTTCCACCAAAAACTTATTCATTTGAAAAAGATTATTTATGTAAGAACTATATTTATTTTGTATCTAATTTCTCCTCTTTATATATGTGGAGTCAAATTAATTATAATTGAGGTTTAAATGAATATATTCACAAATTATATTAAATATAAAACTTTACCAATAAATTTGAACACAATAAACTTTTTTCCATACTTCATTATGCTTTAATATATATAGAGATAGGGATAGAGCTGTAATAATAAAATATAATTTATAAAATATAAATACACATAACAACTTCAAAAAAAATATGTATAAATGTATCTACCCATACAATTAATGCATTCATACTTGCTAATCTTGTTTCTATCAAAATGCATTCACAATTTGGAGGTAAATTTTGTTGCTAGATTCTGCTTTATTATATATAAATAAGATAAAGATTTTATCTATTAAGTGTAGCTTACACTAGAGTCAGGCTTGTATAGTAGTTGTAATTACAAAAAAATAAATTCATTTTTATAATTTAGAATTATATCACTCTAATCTATCACCACATTATTATTACCTGAAAGAACATCAATATTGCTCTATGTATTCGTGTGCAAACCGGGGGAGGACTGGTGTTGTTTCCTTAGACCTCAGCTGTGAAAATGTACTGTGCAGTCACTCCAACAACATAATAGAAAGATGCACTAGCTAGACAGTTTAATTAGTTACTTCTTTGGTTAAGAGTGAATGATTCCTCACTAATGAAAGAAATACTACTACAGATGAGTATCCAGAAGTTGCCAGATGCATAGTATTTTTGAAATAGCTTAGCTTGCAGAACCTGCAAAAATCGTATTCTCCAAAAATTCAAGCTATACTATTGATCATAATTGCCTTGTTTCAAGAAATGCAGTGGATATTCTTTGACAGACAAATAGTTTCTGATTTGCAAGCCATTAAAAATGACCCGATTTCACTTGTGAACTGTGCAGTAATCCATCAATTGGACAACCTTGACTGTTTGGAAGGGCTTGAGAAGCTAATGATCTAAGTTTCTGTTGGCTGCATTGTAACTCTTTAAATCGGTCTGTGTTTCCTTTCCTACCCGAGAAGTTGAGATTTAATGGGTTTTAATCATTTTGAGAGGCATATAACGGTACGTAGTTGGCATTTTGCTCTAGCTTAAGGTGTTCAAGCAAGAAAATTATATTCCTTCCACGGAAAAGAATGGAAAGTAGTTGAAGGAGGATTTTATCAATTAGGATTCTTGCTTCTTGAAGAAAAAAGCCAGAAGCAGTTGAAGGCTAATAAATATTCCTTCCATATCTCTGGCACTTGTGTCTAAGATTCTGCCATTGTTTGGAAGAGATTCCCGGGATCGGAGTTTTGCAATATTTTGTTGTCAATTAAGTTGAAACAGTGCAGCCCTTGTAGTGTTGTTGTTGCCAGGCAGATTCAAGAAGGCTGCATCAATTATGCACAAGAATGTTTGAGGTTAAAAGCTTAATCATGCTTCATCCAAAATTTTTTATTTTCTTAGACATTCTTTACAATAGCTCGCTGTTACTATTTCTTTTTCTGATCTCATTTTGTTCTCTCCATTTTCCATATAATTGAGAGTTGTGACTTCCTGTCAAATGGACAATGGTCAGTTTTTCCTCGCCAAACATTGTAAAGTTCCTTTGGTGTTTAATAGAAAATTTGAACCTGCCGTCAACTAAGTTGGATACTGGCAACTAATTTTCTGCCGTTGTTAGTTACTCGATAAATTCCAAGTGTTATCATTATATTGATACAGTTACCTTGTTTTGAAAAATGCAGTGGGTATTCATTCTTTGACAGACAAGTAGTTTCTCATTTGCAAACCATTAAATTAAAGATGACTTAGAGCCCAGTTTCACTTGTGGATGGTGTAGTAATCCCATCATTTTGGATAATCTTGACTATTTGGAAGGGCTTGAGAATTCTATGGACTACGACTCTTGCTAGCTTCTTGAAGCTAATAAACTTGAGCATTGCGCAAGCTAAGCGATGGTGATTTCCCATGTCTTTAGTTGTTAGTCTTGAGATGTTATTGTTTGGAAAAGTTCCCTTGGTGTTTAACAGAAAATTTGAACCTGCGGTCAATTAAGTTAGATTAGTGTGGCCATTCCGTTATTGCTTTTGCTATGCAGATTCTAGATTAGCAAGTTGAATTGGGGAACTACATTTTTTAGGTTAGAAGCTACATCATTTGATCTATTTCTTTTCTATTCCATAAGAATACTAACTTTCTTTATGAACTTGTGGTTTTTTTTTTTTTTTTTTATCTAATTTTGTTTTCTACATTTTGCATTATTTTCATAGACCAAAAAACAGGGCCTGTGAATATGATGAACCACAAATAGAAGAGTGTGTAGAAGATGACTTGGTTGGGGTGTGTTTGCACTTTGCAGTGAATGCTATTAGAAATATGGTATGTACATAGATACATATCTCATGTCTGCCAATTATATCCAACATACTTTATGATCTATTATAAAACATGATTAGTTTTATGGTTTCTTTTTCAAAAAAAAAAAAAAAATGCATTTGATATTGTTTAACAGCCAAATGTTTCTCATTTGCAAGGCATTAAGGATAAACTTCCTCAATCCCCCATAATTGAGAGTTGTGGCTTCCTGTCAAATGGACAATGGTCAGTTTTTCTTCGCCAAACATTGTGAAGGAGATTGATGTATATATGTTGGTCATTTATGATTTACTGTCATTGATGAAACCTTTGTCAGTATACTTGAGTCAACTAATGATGTTGCCGGGGTGTGGAGGCAATTCCACTTTTTGTTGCAAGAATTAACTAATGATGTTTATTTTGTACTGTCTGTCTCTGCCATATTGATAATGATTCGCAAGACTAATTAAGTATAATTTTGAAAACTTCTATTTTTAGAATTAACTATAAATAAGCTCCATCTTACGCATCATGTATGGCTTCAAAGCATAGATTTGACAGTGATCTGTTACCATTTTACTTTAAATGGGCACTCCTTTTACAATTACAATATGAAATAATCTCCCAAAACTCACCCCTCTTTAATTGCTAACAACTCTACTTTTATGGAGTAAAATTTGAGAGGTTAACACTTAACTAACCACTTAAATGATAGTGGTAAATAGTTTACTATAATATAATGCAGTTAGAGAAGTTGTATTTCTCTAGATTTACAGTATGAATTTATCTGGCAAAACTTGCACCTCTGTAGTGGCTAACACCTCAGCAATTTGTTTTTGTAACAATGATGGTTTGTTGCATTGTTTTCAGTGTAAAAACGGTAGTGATGAGAATTTGAGAAGGTTTACCAGCAACTTGTAGAATACCTTCCATGCATGCATGGAAAAGTATGGGATGTAGCTAAAGGAATTGTTGGGTTGCCCATATCTTGTGACAAAAAGTGGAATCACCTATCTCAAGTGTCCTCAGATCCCAATGTAACAGGATTATGTTGGTGAGACTCAATTATTGATCTCTGGTAACAAATTTCACTTCTGTGACTAGTTGAACTACCCAAGCGGGTTGGATTGCCCATAACTGATCGACTCAACCAAGTTGAATTATAAATTTGTGGTTATCGCTTGACCAACTTGAATTGGGTGGGGTTGTCCTAAATTGCCCAAATTATCTTTTCATGGTTGGAGGGTTATTCGCATATCTGATCTAGTCATGGATATGATTGAGACATAATAATAATAATTTAAGGTGAATAATTTGGTTGTCCATCCCCATCCATTATGTTAATTCAAACAAATTTGGATTTGTTATTGTGTCTCATTTGCAAATTTAGAAATATTTTACACAAATGATTAGTTATTCTATGGCCCCCAGTCACTTGGTGATCAATATATATTTTCGTTTTTATGGTTGATTTTTAATCAGAAACTCCAGAAAGATTACTGATTAATTTTTTTTTTTTAGTGTTATGAATAAATATATGTAGACATTACTAAAAATATCATACTATTGTTGGTTTTACGGCCACGAGGTAGTCGGAACCAACACAACCGTAAAACAATAATTATTGAAGGAAACGAGATGCCCAATTGACAGTATTATTATTGCTAGAAGATTAAAAGCTCATCCCTTTTCATTTGAATGTGCCTCAAGGGGTATTTATACAAGATCTACATGTTTCGAGAAAGGAAAGAAAAGATTTACAAAATTGATCTTAAGAAAATTTTCACACAGGAGTTAAGGCCTTACGTTGAATCCGCCATCAAAGCTTCACAGAAATCTGTCAAAGCCTTGGAATTGCATCACGAAATAAATCAACAATTTGTCTGCTACTGTTGCTTCCTTATCCACCTCCTCTCACACCCAACTGGTCAACCAACTGCTCACCAGCCAAGGTAAACAACCTGTCCAGGAGGAGGACTCCATTACTGTTGCTCAAATCGAAGGGGTCTCCACTGCAACAGACATGGGAGATCACCAACCCCATTTTTCTCCGTATCCTAAGGTTGATTTCCCTCTGTTTTCCGGCGAGGAAGATCTTATGGTTTGGCTTCTTTGTTGTGAATCTTCGTTTCACCATGCAGGCACACTTGACCAGGACCGTGTTCCGCTAGCTGCACACCACATGATTGGTGAGGCACAACTATGGTACCACTCTGAAACTGCAGTTTCTCCGTTTACTTCCTGGGCCTCGTTTAAGGAATAGTGTTGCTTAAGTTTTGGACCTCCCCGTAGCCTTTATCCGCTGGGCGAATTAAAGTTGCTCTTTCAAATGGGTAGACACATTGATGATTATATCAAGGACTTTCGGGCTCAACTTGCTCGTGCTGGCACAGTGCTCCCTGCCCAGCATATCGATCTTTTTACTGGTGGTCTAGACGAAGTGCTTCTATCGATGTCGAACGGACCAAACCAGGTTCTCTTAATGAAGCTATGAATACTGCCCGGGATTTCTATCATAAATGCCACCTCTTAAGCCTCTTAACAGCCGAACCACCCAACAAATTACCTGTCCAGACTTCACGCCCTCCAACAGCCCGTTTTTCCCCACCCCCTAAATCGTCTCCAAGCCACACCAACTCCTCTTGCCCTCCTTTTAAGTTTCTATCTCCAGCAGAAAAAGCAGACAGAGATGCCAAATAGTTATGTTATAATTGTGATGAGCGATTTTTTCCAAGTCAAAAATGCCGCCACCTTTTTAGGTTGTGGACATTAGAGGATGGTGAAGAACCCCCTGCTTGGGTTGCATCCACGGAGATGAACGCACGTAATGGAATCACCTAAATTCAACTTGAACGTTGTCACCTACTTCAAGCTTGAGGACAAGCTTGATCTCCAGGAGGGGTGTAATGGTACAATATGTTGCCCAATTGGTTCACACTACCTAAAGATCAAATTAGTTATATTGTTTCCTTTACTAGTTTAGTTATATTGTTTCCTTGACTAGTTTAGTTATATTTCCTTCATATTTAGTTTAGCAGTTTTTAGAATATTATTTCCTAATATCTTTGATTGTACCTCCTATATATATGGGAGAATATTAATTTGTCAAGTTAAGTTGGTATTGAATAAAAATTAAAGGAAGTTTCTTCCCCAACTTCTCCACTCTTATTCTGTATCCGGCCACCATAGGTAGACCACCTGCTTCCTCCGTTAATCATAGACCCGTGACGCGTAGTTTATCTACTGAAACATATCATCCAACAACTCCATGCTGCCATCATGACTATGAAGGAAGATCAAGCTTCATTACAACAAATGTTCCTTCAGCTTATGGCAAATAAGGATTCCACCCAAACATCAAACAGTCATGCTACACCACTACACCCTTCAACCCAAAACACTCATGTTCCGCCACCAGACTCTTCAAACCAAAACACACACGAACCTACATCCACATTTATACCCAAATATTCTCGCCTGGAGTTTCCCAAATATGATGGCAAAGATGACCCGATAGGTTGGCTACACCGCTGTGAGCAAATTTTTTCGTAACCAAAACACGTCGGGTAACGAACATGTAAGTTTGGCAGCCTTCTACATGACCGGAGTGGCTCAAATATGGTTTTTTCGACTCAATACGGAAGAACCCGAGATGACATGGCCTCTTTTCAAGAAAAGGTGCATCCTAAGATTTGGACCACCACTGCGAGGTAACGTTCTTGGTGATCTGACTAATCATAAACAAAATGGGAGTCCGATTGAGTCTTATAATGATGAGTTCCAAACCATGCTTATGCGTACATCCTCAGTTCGACACGACCAGGAGGTTGATCTTTACACTGCAGGCTTGGATGATACACTCCGCATAGATGTTGAATCACAATGACCAGCCAACTTAGATATTGCTATGAATTTTGCTAGAGCCCTTTCCCGACGATAAGCATGCGGCATGCAGAACCTAGGCACAATAATGTCACCCCCTACAAGAAATCAAGCATCCACCCCCTTCTCATCTGGTAGTCGCATTCGAACTTCCGCAGGTTCAACCAACAGCAATTTTGTAACCAACCGACCATCATCGACAAAGACATCTGGGGTATCCTTTCTGGAAGAAAAACGGTTGTCTAGAGCAGAGCTTCAAAACCGTCGCTCTCGAGGGCTTTGTTATCACTGCGATGAGCGATGGTCACCTGCTCATCAGTGCAAAAAACTCTCCCTCCTTGTGATTGATGAAGAAGCAGAAATGGACGCATATCATAACGAAATAGAACCTGAAACGTCTGAAGACCCTGAGATTTCTCTTCACGCCATCACCGGAGCCAATAATGCATATACAATGAAAGTAAAAATGCAGCTTGGTAGCCACCCAGTATCCGCCTTAATTGACTCCAGAAGTACCCACAATTTTGTGGATGAACAAACTGCCAAGAAGTTAAGACTGCGTATATATAAGTGTTCGAACCTGCAGGTTGCAGTGGCAAACGGCGAAAGGATCACAGGGACAGGGATGTGCAACAATGTCCAACTCTGCAAAGAAGGACAACGGTTTTATGTTCACTTCTACGTAATTCCGCTTGTTGGATTTGAAATGGTCCTGGGTGTCAAATGGTTGCACACCTTGGGTGCAATTTTATGGGATTTTAATGCTTTAACCATGAGTTTCTCCTACAATGGACAAAATATCACTTGGCAAGGAGAACACATCCCTCCTTCAAAAATGCTTCATGTGCTACTGTAAGCTCTGATGGGGGGTTTGCTAGAATAGGCAATAATGAAATCACTGTTTTGGTCAATGATGCAGAAAAGGGTAGTGACCACTAGAAGCTCAACAAACTCTTGAAATAGCAGAAGCTAATTTTAGAAAAGCTGAAGGAAAGAGACAAACAATTGAAGCAAATCTAGCTCTCCACCGAGCTCGAACACGGGTCGAGGCTATTAATGCGATTTCATAATAAGTCGGTGTGTTCAAATATTAAAAAGAGGTTCTAATCCTATTTCAATTCTGTCGAGTAAATACAATAAAAAAGAATCCAATTTTGTTTTGATGCAAAAATTAAAAAATGAAATCGAAGTGGCTGTAAATATCTTTGAATTTCTTCCATTTTAATTTGGATTTGGACCAAAGGTAGAAGATTTTGAGGGTTATCAAATGATACATAGTGCGATACAGTCAAAACAAGGTATTTATATTTTATATATAGTAATAATAAATAGAGTTCGAATAAGAAATACCTCGGAACCTGGTAAACTTTAAACGGATTCGCTAGACTCTCCTTAGACTCCCCCATTCCATTTCATCGATCTATATTAATATTATAGGAATTTTAGAATAGGATAATCAGATGGTTAGAAATCCTTTATTTTGAAAACCGAATCGCTCTTTTGATTTCGGAAAAACTTTCTTTATCAACATACTTTTTCTTTTACACACTAATCTCCATTCCAGAATAAGTAGGATTCATTACAAAAAAATAAAGAATCCACTCGTGAGGCGAGAACCCCCTTCCCGCCGCGGGCACTAATCTATTTTGATTTTTAACGTCTAATTAGCTCGGGAATCATTCAAATTAAGAACCAAAGCTCGTTGCTTTTTCTTTCCCCAGAATTGAATTGAAGCCCTAGCCTTATCCATTTATTCATTCGACCTAACTAGGATTTTCATTTTGTTCGGTTCTAAGAATTCGAACACGGCCTTATACCGATCTAGTAAGACTGAAATATTCTCAGAACTCTCCATTGATACGACATGCTGTTTTTAACATCCATTTCCCCTCAGGATCAGTTGCGGTCTTCCAAGCTTTATCGATGGTATAGACGAATCCCTCACTTCATCCAAATGTGTAAAAGATCCTAGTCGCACTTAAAAGCCGAGTACTCTACCGTTGAGTTAGCAACCCGAAAAAGAATATAGAATTGGGGAATTCTATTAGAGACTGTATAGATACAATCCGAATACAAAAACAAAAAA